TGTGTGTGTGTGTGTGTGTTGTCTTGTGAGGCGACCTTCCTTTCTTCGAGTGGCGCGCGAAGCTTGGACTCGCGCGCAGAGTCGAAGCCGCCCATGCACATCAGACGCACATCGAGCAAATCCTGCATAACAACGCTGTCCAGAAGGCGGCGAATTTTTCCTCAGTCTGACGCGGCAGGCCGGTATCGATGCAAGGTTTGCCTTTCCCCCCCACCGTGCGTATTAACCTGCCATCGCTGTTCACCGTCTCATCGCCCACGTTGCACTCGAGACTGCATAGTTTGTAACAGTGTAGAGAGCATTGAGAGAATTTGGAAGGTGAAAAGCGTGATGCAAGCAGCAAAGGCCTGAGGGGCGGCTACGGTCTGCGTCGGAGTTGATCCACTCTCCAGCCAGGAACTGGGATCGCGCACGCGCCACGCCAGGCCCCGGACTACAGAGTCAAGCCGAGGCTGCCAAAATTGCCCGCTCCGGCACCTCGCTGTTGGCTTCGGACAAATACGAGGCAGCGTCGATCCGGCTCCCTGCACAGTGCACAGCTGCGCCACATGTCGGCATGCTGTCCACGCCATGGCGGGCTGTGGCAGCGCCCACCATGCAGCCCCAAAGCCCCACCGTAGTCCCCACCGAGCGTGCTTGCTGAGACAGTGGCATTGCGCACGGGAGGGTCGCGACTGAGACACAGGTCACGCGCTCCTCTTCACATTCCGTCCCCACCTCTGTCCGCGCTTGTCGGCCTTTGCTCGTTACCTTATTGTCGCTCGATCCAAGCGCGGCAGAACGCGTCGTGTTGCTACCCAATCCAAGCCCACACTCGCATCGAGACTGAATTAATAGCATTGCGCTGCTGTCGTGTGCGTGTGGTCTAGGCCGCCTTCTTCGGCTTTCGGGTGCGAAGCTTGGCTCGCAGCTGGTCGATCGCGAGCTGCTGTTCGGTAATGTGCGCTGCCACGCGCAGGGTCTCGAGTCTGTACGCGCGCTGCAGCTCCCTGACGGCGTCGCGCACCTTGGTGATGGCAGCGAGCACCGCCGTGGGCTCGGGCTCGCCTGGCTCGTTCGTGCGTGCCGCCGACGAGAGCAATGCGAGCGGCACATCCTCATCGCCCTCGTCGCTGGGCACGGCGTCCGAGCTCGTGCGCGCCACACGCACGAGACAGAAGCCGTCTTCGCTCGTCGAGGGCGACGAGTCGACGGCCTCGGTTGGTGTCATCTGAACCACAGCCACCTTCTGCGTGGCGGCCGGGAGCTGAGTATGGCCGTCGGTGGGAGAGGCATCGGCAGGGATGGCATCGGTGGGGGCAGCGTCGATAGCAGAAGCATCGGTGGGAGACTCCTCGGGCGGCAACGGTGCGGGGGCTCGGTCACGGCCGGTCAGCAGCTGCTGCACCCACGCCTCCTCGAAGAACGGCTTGATTGGCTCAGCCTGCGTCGCTATCTTCGTGCGTTTGATCGCCGGAACGTTGTCGTCCAGCGCATCGAAGCAGGTGATAGAACATGGCCGCTTCTTGCCCATTCCGCCATCATGCTCGCTGTGAGAAACTGCTTCGGCTTGCGTGGTGTCGCGCACGCTCTCCGCCTCGAGTCTGTCGCATACTTCAGCTGACGATAACAACACACGCCGATCAGCGCGATTCCAGGTTGCCAGCGGCATCGATAGTGCACTTACGACTCAGGTCGAGCGCGAGCTCGTCCACGAACTCGTCGTCGTCCTCGTGGTCCGCTGGTCCATGCGCCATTGCGCCTAGATTGGGGATGCCCGCCGACACGAGCGACAGCCTGGGGCAGCTCGATGTGTGCGAGCGGCCGTGGTCGGTGCTTGGAGCCTCTTGAAGCGCAGGCGATGCAAAGAGGCTGATAGGAGATGATGTGGTGTCGAGAGTGGATGCATCGACACCAAGTGCGGCGGCTTGGACCTCTGCAGCCATCGCGGCAGTCAGAGTCTCCGCAGCGGCAGACATTGCGGATAGCGTTGCGGGTTTGCGGGGCCTGGGTCTGTCGAGCGGATGAGCGGCGAGCTTAAATGCGTAATGGGCTGGCCGCGTCCGTCCGGGCACGGAAGTCTTCCTCGCGGCAGGCGAGTCGAGCAAGTGCCAGGAAACACAGTACGGCGACGCTCGAGCCCCACTGTATGCTTGCTGGCACGCTATGAGTGGACCCATCACCAGCCTGATCGCAGTTTTCGTTCGAAGCGCAGACTGATGGTCGGCTGATCCGATCGATCGCCAGGCGGCGAGATCTCGGGTGACCCGAAGCACTTTTCCCGTGACTACGACCAGCACTCCTCCTGCCAGCGCCTATTCCGCTCGAGCGCGTCGAGGAACCGCTTGGCCTGGTCGTCGTCCATACCCCCATGCTGCTGGGCGAGCGATTCGAACGCGGCGCGCACCTGCTCTGGCATCTTTCCAGACGCGCCGGCGACGATGATGTACGCATTGCGCTGCACGATCGCCGTCCAGAGCATCTGCCCATACTCGGGCTTGGCGATGAGGTCCTGCACGTACGTCTTGTCGTCGCCGTCCCTGCTGAAGGCGGTGTGCAGATGCAGCCGGTCCGCGTGCTCCTTTTTGATCACCTCCCAGTCGTCGCCGAACAGGTAGTCCTTGGTGCGGTATCGGAAGCCGAGGAAGAGGTGGATCTCGGCCGACGTGTCTGCACTCGCGAGGCGGTCCAGAACGAGCGAGCGCAGCGGCGCACATCCGGTGCCCGGGCCGACGAGGATCAAGGGAGCTTCGCGCGGCGGCAGTGTGAGGTATCCGCGCTTGAGCAAGATCGGCACGTCGGCATCTTTGGGCAGCTGGGCGAGCCAGCGCGTGCACAGCCCGGTGCGCGCCTTGCGCAGCCGCGTCCTGTACTTGACGATCGCCACGCTCAACTGGATCCCACCCGCGTCGCTACCAGCGGGCGGCGGACTCGCGATGCTAAACTCGCGCGGCTTGATCCACGGCAGCACATCCCCGACGTACCCGAGCGGGATCTGCACCGACTTGAACTCGTCCAGCACCTCCTTGATCGTGCGCCGCGGCCGTTGAGCGTATTCGAACATCTCGTCAATGCCCTCCTGCGGGTTCACATCGCCTTTGGCCAGCGCTTCGGCAGGATAGATGCCGCAGTACTCGTCCAGCTTCTCGCGCTCGAGCGACCCCGCGGGAGAGAACAGACGGATCTGGTCGAAGAAGGATTGCGTCGGCACCGCGGTGAAGTCGAGATGGTGCGTGAACAGATCGCGCACCGTCAAGCTGTGTGGAGACTGCGCCACGGTGGGTGGGACTGTCGCTCCTGAGATCGTCACGCGGGTATCTCCATCGAGGCCGAGGCGAGACAGCATCTCTGTGACGCTGACGGCATCGTTGATCGGATGCAAGCAAAGCACGTCGCCCGGTTGGAATGTGTTGGGCGTGACCACGGCGGAAGCTTCGTCGGTGTGAGCCGAGCCGTGGTGGTCACCATTGCCGTTCGACGAGGCGGCTCGTGATGGCAGGAACTCGAGCAGCCTGACGTCTTGAAAGTGATCCGAGGCTGTCATGCGATCGTTCTTCTTGAGCGTCGATTGGATCCAGCCTTGCTCGCGCAGCTGCTGGTGGAATCCGTCGGTCTTGCTGCCATCAAACCCATCGGTGCCCTCCACCTTCTCGATCGTGGTGGCGGGAGGCAGCAGCTCGTCCCTCCCAATCTCCTTGACGCCGTCTGGCATGGGCATCATCGCATCCATCTTGTTCCAGAACTGCTCGAGCCACGGAGCGAGCGACCCTTCGAGCCCGAGGTAATGCATGTCGTCGCCTTCGCCGTGCTCCGTCACCTCTACCGCGCCGAGAGCCTTGAGCCTTCGACTCAGCAGCCTTACTGGCCAGCAAAAACGCGTATAGGTCGTGTCTCCCAGCCCGAACGCGGCAAAGTGCACGTCGGCCAGGATATCTTCCGGAATGCCTTTGCGCAGCAAGAAGTTCCAAAACGCGCGTGCAGTGGTTGGGAACTCTCCCTGTCCCGTCGTCGATACGAGGAAGAGCACGAGCGACTCGTCGACCAAGTCGGTCACATCGTAGTCTGCCACGTCCGCCACGTCGACCGTGTAGCGCTTGCGCTTGGCCTGCCGTGCGATGCGAAGTGCGACATCCTGCGAAGTGCCGGTCTGCGTCATGTACAGAATGGTCAGATGACGGCCGTCCACTCTGCCATCCTGGCTAGCCGAAGACGACGCCGATGCATGCTCCGAAGACATCCTTTCCATCGCTTTCACAGGAGATGTGGCACCGGTGGTGATCGTTGGCGAGAAGTGAGACGGACAAACCAGGGCAGCTCCGTCCAGACTCGTCGGCCAAATTCGCCGACCGCGACCCGAGCCGCTCGGAATCTGATAAAAACCCCGAAGAGCCCGTTCGGCTGAGCCAATCTCGCCAGCCACCCTGGCAGGGACTTAGTAATCTCTCCGTCCCGAGACCGGGCCGCGCACAAACCCTCAGCCAGCTCTGTACGGAAGAAAGCCGAGTGGTGACCCTCACACCGTCGGTCTTGATCGCAGCCCCCACAGGGTCTCTGCATCGCCCGCAATCACGCACACTTCGATTCATGACTTCGTCCACCTCACACATGGCCAAGCTCGCTGTTGCCACTCTGACGACGAATGCAAATCGATGTTACGGATGCAGGGTCTTGAAGCTCGTGCTGTACTAGGACGCGGAGCTGGGCGGGTACAGTCTTGCATTCCCCACGCCCATGGATGCGGCCTCCGCGACAGGTGT